TTAGGTTCAGATGTTCTAGAAGCAAACTTCAGTTGACAGACTCCAGCTAAGGAAACAGCCGTGAAGTCACATCATAAGAGGCTCATACCAAAACATGGATGGCTGAAATCCAAACCTCAAAGTACACATGAATTGTTCGGACTCAAACAGAACCACAGTACAAGATAAACATTATTTCATGAAATACCTTTTTAAAGTATGCTAATGACATCCATTTGGATGCTTTAAACTGCCATTGCCAGAGAGGCATATTTTTAGAATTGAAGTATGACTCATAAAACTGCAGGGAAGTTTTAGATTTTGATGGTTACCCCATTAAGTTTTGTTTGCATATTTTGCTTTCAGTACATAAATCATTTGCAAGAGGCTGTATGAGGAAAGGCCTGAATATGTAAGCTTTGAGAAAATATGCTTATTTTTTTTTAAATCGTTCATTTGTAAATTGAGCAAAAAGTTCTTCTTTTTTAAATTGAGATTTTGTCAGATGCATTGCAAGAATTCAGAAATTCTTATAACAAATAATAATGAAATTTGTTGCTATAGTTTCAATTCCACAATTAAGTAAATTAAGTGTATATGTATGTATGTATGTATGTATGTATATATATATATATATATATATATATATATATACTCTATCTTTTAGGATATCACAAATTAAACAAAACTGTATGTAGAATATTTTAATTTTAGAACCATAAATATTTGAATAGATAAATGTATTTGCATTGATTCAAACACTATATGTATGAAACAAAAATAAACACACACACAGAGGCCCACATATATGAATTATAGAATACAACACAGTTCCACATGAATAAATACTAGAAGTTTTATGTACATTTAACTGCAATTTTGTGTATACATAAATTTGCATGCTCACATGTTTGGGAGTGCATTAGACAAATTCAGGTGTTGTTTTTCAAAGTCATCCAAGTTGTTTTGGAACAACAGAATGTCCCAGTAGCTTGCAGTTTGTCAAGGATTTTTCCTGAGTTACATGCTGTGTGCAAACAAGACCTAGATTTTCATTCCTAGTGCATAACAAAATACAAAGAGTTGCTAACCAGAAATTCACAAAATGCTGGAGAAAGTGACTCCAGATAATGTTTATTTGACACTATCTAGTTGCATAGGTCAATCTGGTGATTATCCGAGCAAAGGAGAAAAGAAAGGAACGTGTTTTTTAGGAGGAGACCATTTCCTAGCTACCCACACTCTCGAAATAATCACACAGAAATTATATTTATTAAATTAGTTCTTAGCCCATTAGCTCTAGCCGCATATTGGCCAGCTCTTACATCTTAATTTAAACCATTTCCATTAATCTGTTTGTTGCCATGTAGGTGTGGCTTACCAGCAAGATTCCAACTTGTCTATCCCCAGAGGTGGCTACATGGTGTCTCACGACTCCACCTTCTTTCTCCCAGCAGTCTGTTTAGATTTCCCTGCCTAACTCTAATCTGCCCTATCACAGACCAAGCGAGCTTCTTTGTGTGTTAACCAATAAAAGGAACACTTATACAGAAATACTTCCCACACCAAATGTGTATGTACACATGCATGCACGTTCATGTATGTGCACACACATGAGCACTTGAACCTTCATAGCTACCGATTAACATTTTAATTTTTCTACCATTGATTTGAATAAGAATTAATTAATGCTAATAGAGTCTATGTAGTACAATGAACTATATGTATGGGAAAGGTTGGAGTACCCAGTAAGAAATATTTTTAATATGAACAGTGGATTATCAGTCTATATTTGTTTCAAGTGTCCAAGTTGTGAAAGTTTAACCAGGAAAACATGTTGATTCACAATTACTTGAATGAAAATATAAATCACAATTATTAATGAAATACCATCCCAAAACATATTGTATAAATAAAGGACATTATTATTGTTATTGATATTTAATATTCAATAAAAAAGAGATTATTTGCTTAGTAGTTCTCTGATTAATACAAAATATTAAGTTTCATATTTAGTAAATTCTGAGATTAAGTATAATTTTAATTGTTTATAATATGCCTTGCTTTTTGTTATAAGTTACTGGAAATATTTCTACCTTTTCAGGTTCACTAAGTGACTATCCTGTTATTGATATTATTTTCTTCAACACTTACTTGTGTGAAAACTAGTTTTACAGTCCTTAGCATTGAAACATTTTATACTTTAAACTGTCCACTGGTCAACGGTGATACAGAACATGTGAGACTTGCCAAACACATTTGGGTTAACTTGAGACCCACACCCCGAGAGAAAACTTATGTAATACATTGTCTACATGGCAAGAAATTAGAGATTGATTATCCCAGAAACCTAGGGAAGAACAAAACAGAATTGGAAAAAAAAATCAATGAAATTATCCCTAATGATATTGTGCTATAATCACAGATCAGTCATCCTCATAAAGACTTCACTCAAGAGCAGATGGGAGAAGATGCAGAAAACCACAGTCAGCATTATAAAGAGAGAGAGTCTTAATTGAAAGTCTCCATCAACTAAGTAGGGCTCCCCTGAGTTCACAGAGACTGTGCTGGCAAGCCCAGGGTCTGCATGGTTCTGCACCTGGTCCTCTGCATATTTGTTATGGCTGTTAACTTGATGTTCTTGTGAGACTCCTAACAGTGGGAGTGGGTGTGGGGGAATGGGAGCATCTCTAACTCTTTCTGCTCTTAGGACCCTTTTCCTCCTATCTGGTTGTCTTGTCTACCCTCGGTATGAGGATTTTGCCTTGCTTATGGTCTCATGTTTTGTCCTGTTTGACTGCTGTCTCTTAGAGGCCTGAAGTAAAAACAAAGGGGAGTATATCTAGGGGAGACAGGAGGGGAGGGGAAAGCTAGGAAGAGTAGAGGGATGTATTGAATGAGAGAAGAACAATTTTAAATAAAAACTGTACATATAAAGATTAGGAATAAAAATAACAATATAAAAAGAGAAGTCAACCAATCAACAGTACTATTGACAATCTCTAATACCTTCTTCTAAGACAAATTATTTCTTTTTACTGAATTTTCAACCTTATATAATTACTAGGCCAAGTTATACAACAAAAATGTTATTTTAAATAATTATATCCTAGAGCACATGTGTGTGATGTGTACATAAATACTCATAGCAGATACACAAATCACTGATTTGAATCCTAGAAAATTAAAATAGATCTGTTAAGAGAAATGTGCTAAGAATTTCTCCTCTTATGTGGGACATCATCTTGACCTAGTTAATTTTACTCATTACTTATCATAGTCCTTAGTTTCTATGTCTTTAAGAATAAAAGTCATAAAATCATCCTACTTTGATAATCTAATCTTGATATTTATATTCAGTTTTATCTCTTTTTTTTTGATCCACCAACTGATCTTCACTGGCCTTCAATTTGCAATACTCCTGCTTCTTCACAAAGCTTGTTGGAATTACAAGCAGGTGCACGCCTACCTAAATGAGAATCCGAATTCTTCCCTATTTATTAACACTTCTTCACAAAGCGTTTAAAGGTGTTTAACAGACACAGATGAAATTTTAGTTTTGAAACACAGCTTATCATTGAAATCCAGTGTCCTGGCTGTCCTGCAGTTCACTACCTCTTGAGTGTTGACCTGGATTCAGCATCTGCTTCTCTTGTTTACCTTAACAATTCTTAGTTCCACCCATTCTTCCTTGAACTATTATGTTTTAACTCCTTTTTCTGGCCACATAAAATTACATTGAGTACACGGACTATGTTTGGGCTGCTTGTATGTTTAAAATACTGTGAACAGTTCAGCAATGCACATAGATGAGCAGGTGTAACTTTTTAATAGATGTTTTCACCTATTCATGAAAGTTCAATTCAAAAGCAATTCCTTCACTATTAAATCAGATTTCTCACTTTATTTTAACACATTCTTTTTAAGCTAAGAAGTAAAATTTTGTGTTTAGCATAATCATACCTTACTAAATTATTTATATGTGGCTCTCCACAAAAAAACTTTATTAATATGAATTTCCAACTTTACATTTTACCATGTGTACAGAGGTGTGTATATTTGGATTCCCTTTATGTATGTAGTGCTTTGTGTGTTAGTCCCAGAACTTCTGACCATTCAGCAATGGTATTAAGAATTTTCTTGTCCAGCCTAGTCTACAAGAGCTAGTTCCAGGACAGACACCAAAAACTACAGAGAAACCCTATCTCGAAAATTTTAAAAAAAAAAAAAAAGATTTTTTTTTTGTTTCTTTTCTTCTTGTGCATAACTTATGCTACATTCACTATGTCACTAAGTTGTCTTTAGGAAGTAAAGGGACATTCTTGATATGTAGTTACTGTAACCTGTTATGCCATTTTAACTGCAATCTTCAAGAATGTTTTCTTCTTAATTGCTTCTTGGTTTTATTCTATTCTTTCCAATTTGTAGAATGTTCTAAGTTTATGTTATTTTTCCTGTTGTCAGCTTGCCATAATCTTTTTGTTTGGGTTCTTGTTTACACTTACTTGGAAACACATGATGGCTTGACTACATTTACTTCCTCCCCCTGTTACTTACACTGTCCCAGTAAGCTTTGACTTTCTGACTAAAAATTGGAGAGTTATTTTTAATGCTATAAGCTCAAAATGATTTCTTTTGAAACATGTATTAATCACTAAAATGGCAATTGCGTTTACAATATAGAGAACGGAAAAATGCTCTACTGTAAATAGATAATTTAAGAAAATAACAGATAAATACTTAAAATACTTGACACATCATGTGATAGATTAAAAATTAGAACTATTTCAAAACCTATGCTATCAAATAAAGTGTCACTACATTCCCCTTATTTCCATGGTATTAGAAGTCAGGGTTTTTTTTTTTTTCCTTTTAAAAGTAGATACTGGCACTTTGTGCCAGCTCATATTACTTAGTTCCACATTAAACATTTATTTTTGGTTATAGTGGATACTTTCTACTTCATTTTTGTCATGAAAGAGTGAAAACATGCTTCTTTGATGTCATCATTATTTTATTTTCTTCCATCAACTGTCATACTGAATCACATTTCAATGCATTTTTAAAGTCGAAGTTACTGCAAATAGGTAAAACTCTGTCTTCAAAGACCCACTTCTGAATAGCTGCTCCTGAGGAAAAATAAACAGTGCATCATTTACTCTCCTGATAATGACTAAATTTGCACTTTATCTAAATTGGAAAGCAATTTTACAATAATTCTAAGTGAAATAATGTGGTATCTGAAACTAGGAAATTATGATTATGTTTATTTGTTCTGATTTGCACCTGAGACATTGAATGCATAAAAGAAACAGTAGTGAAGCATTATTCGAACAGTTAAGAAAGTATAGTATGCTAAAATTGTGAGTCCAGGTGTGAAATGTTATATGTAGAGTTTATTAAATAATCTTTTCAAATTGGCCAATAATAGGTGAGAATGAATCTTTTAAATAATTCTCTAATTCCTTTTTGAGTAAATTTAGCTTTCTAATCCCACTGTTCTAAAAAAAATCTACTTTTCTGTCCTTGTGTCTAAATACTAAGAGACTAACATTATGAAAATTCAACTTATAATCATTGTCCCTATAATCATTGGTACTTTTCCATGATCATTTTAAAGCATTTACTTAATGACAATTACATGCACCTTATTTCAAAAGCTTTCAAAGATTACTAAATCATTTTTCTTTTAATTCCACTGATTTCCATTTGTCAAACATATCCAGAACAAATTTTCAATATACTCTTTATCATGAACATTGATGGCATTGTGACTTCTCACTCAACCACTAAAACTGCTCTCAATTTTGCTGTTTTATGGTATACTAATCTGCAAAGATCTTTCTACAATTCATTGCAGTGGTTCATTTAACTTCATGACGCCACTCGACAAATTTGTCTGGGTAAAAGAGATAAATGTGTTAATATTCAGTTTCGCTTAACCTCAATTTAAATTTTCTCAAAAGACTGGTATAGTGTGCCTTTGGTTCCAGAAAGAAAGAGCGGTCAGGAGAAGATGCACCCCACAATGTGGACGGCCTGATTCAGATACAAAGGAAACTAGATAGCATTAGAATAGGAAAGAAGTAGTCAGCAAAGGAATCCCCATTCCTGTTTTCTTACCTCGCATAGCAATAACATCATTCCCACACCGCTTTTCCCTCCATGGTGGGTTAAACCATCTACGTTTGTGAACTAAAATAAAATCTTCTTCTTTCAATTAGCTTCTGCCTGTTACTTTGGCTACAGTGGCAAAATAAATAACAAACAAAACTAGTAGTAGGGGTTAAATTTGGAATGATTTAACCTTTTCATGTGGTCTTGGCTTTTGCAACCAAGGCAAAACAAAAGATTTAGAAAAATGAATTTTTTTTATTTTAAAAGGAAAAGTTACATGCAAGGGGTTTTTTACTTTTTAGGCATGAGTTCAATTATAAACTACCTGGATATCTCATACTGGGAAATGTGAAAGATCTGCTAGAATCATTACTGAAATTTACCTTAATTATTCCATTCCAAGCTCTAGGTGTAAACTTATAACCTATGTGAAAGATGACTCAGAATTGTCCAAGGAAGATAAAGTAAGATAAGATATGGTTTCATCTATGTGTGAACTACAAGCATGAAGACTATAATAACTCCAAAATAATTGATGATGATTCTGATTCAAAATTTATCTCCTTTTCTATTATTCTAGAAGATACATCTGGTAGAAGAGATGACTCAGTGGTTAAGAGCACTGGCTGCTGAGTTCAATTCCCAATAACCTTATGGTGACTCACAGACATCTATGGTGAGATCTGGCGCCTTCTTCTGGCATGCAGGCACACATGCAGGCAGGACACTGTATACATATTAATAAAAAAGTTTAAATTAAAAAGAAAGGAAATATACCTTTCTTTTAGTCACCCATTGTTTCTGTTTCTGATAGTTTTTCTTCATCACTTCCGTCCATGATGTTCCCAAACTCTTGGAACTGGTATATGTGATATGGTGCCCAACATAGTTTCAGGAAATCTCTATTCTCTTATTTTATGAAAAATTTATGCAAAAAACTGACCAGTTGAGGCTATCTGTGGTAATCACGACCCACTGCAAAAAGAAGCTTTTCAACTAAGTGTTGAGAAATGTAGTGCTATACAGGTATAACAATAGGTCATAGGAGTTAGCCTGATACTCATTAATTTAACAGGAATTTAAAACTAGATTTTCATTTAGGTCCTTTGAATTATCAAGCCACAGTATCTGGCCACTGATAATCTGTGTGAATTAGAAAGTGGTTGGCTGCACATGTAACATTCACACCATTGGTGCAGCAGGAAGCACACAATACTGGGGTAATCACTGTTGTAGCTTGTACACTCCACATCTGTGAAACGTGGATAATTAACATTTTCTTATATGTTGCTATAGGGATCCAAGGAACTGAGTTCATTCATCTTGGTGAAAGATATATTCGTGGATTAAGCCATTTCTCTAATGCAATGTTAGGGTATTTATTTATTTTTTACCTTTAATGAAAGAAAATGTTTATTCAATCTTGGGAAGCCTGATAGTTTTACACATTATGTAATTCTCACCCCTAAATTCTTATTATAACTAAGTCAACACTGGAACAGTAAAATATATTAGATAAATAAACCTATATAACCAGGTTGGCTCTGAGTTCATGATCCTCCTGCCTTTGCCTTCTTCAGCAAATACCATTTGCATTCAATGCTTTGGATCTTGTCAGAAAATCCTCTCCACTGAACTATGTCAGTGTCCTTGATTTTATCCCTTCCCACAAAAGGTTTATAGTAGTTGCCTTTACTATTGTTATGGTGACATTGGAAGAGGAATGGTTAACTTTCCCATGTATTGACAGTGACATTTGAACTTGGTCTCAGTGTGGAAGAGAAGAGCAAACACATTTGTCAAAGTTAAAAATAGCAGTAGGACTTACAAATTTATATAAAAATTGAATGAAAAAAATATGGCTTAGAACACAGGCAAAATGAATAGACAGGAAAGCCGTATACCTCTCCTGCTGAATCTCTTTCTTTGATTTTTCAATACTTTGATCCATTAATTTCAGTTCTTAACTCCAGTAACCTGTGCACTGGTTTCAGTAAATCTCCTAAGATCAACATAGGTAGACCTTTTGTTTATGAAGAAGCCCAATTCACTATCTGCACTACCAACTTATCCCCATTTAATTATACCATTTTTTCCCCTGTTAACCACTCTGTTTTGCCTTTCTGATCTGACTGCCTCCAATATGCACCTGGATGGTGGTTTGCTCTCTGTTGGACAGTTGTTCACGGAGATCAGTTTCATTATAGGAAGACAAAAGTGAGATGTACCTGGAAAATGAAGTAAAATTGGAAATATAATTCAGAAAAAAACCCTGCCTAAACAATGAATGATACTCACAAAGTCAAAGAATAGTTAGGACAGACAAAGGAACGAGTGTTATAAACAACTGAGTATATTTAATACAAGCAAAACTTGTGGAAGGTAATCTTTTGTTAGGAAAAAGTGGAGAATTATCTTTCCTCTTAAAGAAAGAATGCTATGAATTGGGTCAGGTGTGGGTAAGAATAAGGGACAGAGAAGGAAAAGCTTCTGCTTCTGCCCTTACACTAGCGTTGTTATGAGTAAGCAAAGGTGACTAGGAATGAGTGGTGTCCAGTAATTTCAGAGGTCATCAGAGTGCAGTGGAAAAGAATATAGAATAACAGGTTAGCTGGGTTTGGGGGATTCTAGTCACCATGGTTTAGGAAATTAGCACAATTTAACCAAAGTTGTAAAGTTCTGTAAAATAGTAAGCCACTGGCTAAGAACAAGCTTTAAAAATTTAGAAATAATCTTAAATATAAAAATACTGTAATAAAGATTATAATTATTATGATAACACACACACATATATCATCTGAAAGCTGAGTATGCCTACAGTCTATGTCTAATAAATAACATTTTAAAAGAATAGTTAATTTACATGAAAAAAGGTAGACAACATTCTGTATATTTTATCAACTCTGTGCAATTGTAAAAGTTATAGTAGCTAAGAAAGGGATATTTGACATTCCTAAAAATTCTGATTCATTGAGAAATATGTTTTTTTAATTAAAATTAATTATACTTTTAGTTAAAAACTTTTATCAATTAGTTTCTTGATTTAATTTTCGAAGTAAATTTTCAAAGGAAAACAATTAATTATAACTGGACCTTTAAAAATCTATTTACATTTAAAAATGGAGAACATTTCATAGCTAACATGAGGCAGTTTGTTTTAAATAATATTTTATTTTGTAGTGTATCAACTGTGATTTCTTTATATGGCACTTATCCAATTAGTATAAATTAAGGCATGGACATATAAAATATATTTCTTGATATACAATCATGCAATGCCTATTGATTTAGTAATTTATGTTTGTCTAAACTCTGAAATTTTTGCCTTGAAAGAAAATGACATTGAAGTAATACAATGTAACATTACTATACTAGAGTTTTCAACATTAAATAAAAAAATGTATACATTTCAGTGATATACCTTTTATTATAACCGTGTTCTTGTTCTTTGGTTCATGAAAGCTTGTTGTAGCAAACAAACAAGTGGAAAACCTTACAAGGATAGACTTACATAAAAAAGATATATTAAATAAAGATATTTGCTCTGCATTGTTAACTCAGAAATTATAATGTGGGGATATAAAATCATTGTTGATTCATATGATGTTCAAATATTGTTTTATCTCTTTGTTGTCTCAGCTAGTACTCACTGAAAAAGAAACACATTCAAAGCAAACACTAAAGTCCTGAATAAATATTGTGAACTTCTTAAATACAATGCCATCCATGAATAACTAAGAGTTGATAGATAAAAGAGTCGTTAGTAATGAAACTATAAGGTTTCTGACTATTGTACGATCAAGCTTGTTATAGCTGGCATTATCCCCAGTGGGTCTTCATATTTTCCAGCAAAAATATACTATATACAATTTTAATTGTTTAATATGAGGCTGAATTTGCATGATTGCTAGAGAAGGCTGACATGATTGCCTTTAAAGTGATCACCCTTTCCTTTCACACAATGTAGCATTGCAAACCAAATACTTAAATTTTTAGTATTCAAAGGAACTACAGCAAATGAACTTCTCCTTAAGGCCTTGAGGGTGGGTTATACAGTGTTCATACACACAGAAATGAAGCATAAAGCACCTCAACAACTTGTACCTGCTTTATTAGGTCGACAGCGTATATATTACAGATTTCAGATTAGTATTTTTATGGAATTCCTAATTATGTGATGCACAATTAATAAAATATCAGACTGAAATTGGGGTTCAACCTAGATACCCCAAAATCAAAGCAGACAGTCACAGTTTCTTACCTTGATCTTTGTCTGAAAATGGAGATCCCACCTTGGGGAATCTCAGAATGAGACTATGTCTAAGAGATGTCTCCTCCCATTTTCTAATCCTCTCTTTTTTATTTTTATTTATTCATTTATTATTTAAAAATTTCCACCTCCTCCCTGCCTCCCTTTTCCCTCCCCTCCCCCACCTCCGCCTCCCTCTCTAGTCCTAAGAGCAATCAGGTTTCCATGCCCTGTGGTAATTCCAAGGTCTTCCCCTCTCCATCCAGGTCTATAAAGGTGAGCATCTAAACAAACCAGGCTCCTACAAAGTCAGTCCATGCAGTAGAATCGAAACCCAGTGCCATTGTCCTTGGCTTCTCAGTCAGCCTTCATGGCCAGCCACATTCAGAGTGTTCAGTTTGATCACATGCTTTCCCCAATACTCCCCTTCTCCCCTCTCTCTACCCGTCTCCCCTTACATCCATCCCCCCACCTCCCACTCCGTGCACCCAAGTTTTGCCTGGCAATCTTGTCTATTTCCAATATCCAGGAGGATAACTATATGATTTTCTTTAGGTTCACCTTCTTATTTAGCTTCTCCAGAATCACAAATTATATGCTCAAAGTCCTTTAATTATGGCTAGAATCCACTTATGAGTGAGTACATACCATATTCCTCTTTTTGGGACTGGTTTACCTCACTCAGTAAAGCGTTTTCTATTTCCATTCATTTGCATGCAAAATTCAAGATGTCATTGTTTTTTACCGCTGAGTTAAACTCCAATGTGTATATGTTCCACACCTTCTTTAACCATTCTTCTATTGAGGGGCACCTAGGTTGTTTCCAGGTTCTGGCTAATCTGAACATAGTTAAACAAATGCTTTTGTAGTATTGGGTATCCAATTGGGTATATTCCCAAGAGTGGAATTGCTGGGTCCTGAGGTAGGTTGTCTCCCTGTTTCCTGGGAAACCACCACACTGATTTCCACAGTGGCTGCACAGGTTTGCATTCCCACCAACAATGGATGAGTGTTCTCCTCACTCCACATCCTCTCCAGCCTAGGCTCTCATTGGTGTTTTTGATTTTAGCTATTCTGACAGGTTTAAGATGGTATCTCAAAGTTGTTTTGATTTGCATTTCCCTGATCACTAAGGAGGTTGAGCATGACCTTAAGTTCGGAGATTAAAATCATGCACCACCTGATTGCTATAATAACTAATGTGGGTACTGGAATTAAAGGTGAATGTCATTGTGACTACTGTGATTAAAGGTGTATGCCATTGCTGACTGGTTTGTAAGTCTGGCCAGTGTGGCTGTTTTACTTTTCAGATCGACAGTCAAGCTTTATGTATTAAAAATACAAGTGAAATGACCCTACAATCATATGAAAATGGGGCCTCTGATTTTTGTAGCTGCTCTTGGAGAACTTCTTTGTGTTCAGTTAAGTCGGGGAGCCTCAATGAGATGATGTTCTTTCAACTTAATATATTTTGTCATGTTTGATTGCTATCTCATAGAAGACAGTTCTTTTCTACACAGAGACAGAAAAGGGATGGATCCAGAGGGGACGAGAGACAGGGAACAAATGTGAGGAATAGAATGGCGGGAAACTATACCAGGATATATTGTATAAGAAAACGTACTATTTTCAACAAAGGGAAAAAAATAACATGGATTTATCAAGCTATCAGCCTTGCATTTACTGAAAAATATTCACAGTGCCTGAAGGTGGTGTGTAAAGTCCCGGAGGATAAAAGTAATCACTAGTCTTACTCACCACTGAACCTTGTCAACTACAGCAACAACTAAACAGGCAAGAAATTCCTACTGGTGAAGTAGTGGCACAAATGTCTTCTGAGTAACCAACAACATTCTGATTTGATTTAGGGCCACTATAATTGTCTATGTTATTGGGGCCAGGATCCTGTGACTAGATAAGTCACAGTCCCTAGGCAAGATACTGCTAATAATACTTTGGTTCATGAATATAACATTAAACTGACTTTAAATAAATTATTATGTTCATAAGCTAGTACATATTTCAAAACTTAATATAGGATAGAAGTTTGTATTTGCAACTAGTTGTGATTAACTTAGAGATCCATAAGTGATTAATGGATGAATAATGAAATGTGGGAAGTCCTAGGTGAGATATGTTTATCACATCCTAAGCCTCATTGCTCAGGGATCATTTAACAAAAGTTGGCAGGAGTTTGATCACTATGAAGAAGCAATGTTTCATAGACACAGTAGGACAATTGCACATATGAACACACAGCAGCTGTGAAAACATAAACAGGTTTTGTGCATGCTGAAGTCATACAAAATCCCAGAATAGAGAGGGGAAATAGAGAAGGAGGTTCATTCCTAGATGTCCTAGTTAGGGTTTGTATTGTTACAATAAAACACCATGACCAAATTGCAAGTTGGGGAGGTAAGGGTTTATTTGGCTTACATTAGCAGATCATAATCCATCACTGGAGGAAGTCAGAACAAGGATTTGAGAAGGGCTGTAACTTGGAAGCTCCTTTGAGAGGAGCTGCTTACTGGCTTGCTTCACATGGATTTCTCAGCCAGCTTCCTTGCAGAATCCAGAAAGAACATGACCTGAACCCTCCCCCACTTTTCACTAATTGAGAATATGCCTTATGGCTGGATGTCATGGAGACATTTCATCTACTGTGGCTAATTCCTCTCTGATGATTCCAGCTTATGTCAAGTTAACAATCAAAACCAGCCAGAAAAACTGACCCCTTGTCAACAGAGACATAAAAACATTACTACTAAGTCACACCCTCTTTTCTTATTCATCTGCAAAATCTTAGATCTTACTCTAAAAACAAAGATAACTTTAAAAGTGTTTACAAATTCAAACAAATTAAAATTTCTACCCCTTATAAGGAGCTAATCTTTTTTGAAATCCAAAGTGTCTCAATTGTGGGCGTCAGTTAAACACTTTCTTACTTTAAGAGGAAAAATTAGGGCAAAGTTACAATCA